AGGCCTCGCCGCCTCCCCGGGCGCGGGCACCGGCGCCGGCCTCCCCAGCGGCGCGCGTCACCTGCCGCGACCCCCGCGCCTTCCCGCCGTTTAAATGAGGCTGCAGCGCACATCCGGGAGCAGCGCTGCTGCCTGCCACTGGCACAACCAAAACTGCGCGAAACCCTCCCGTAGTTGGTGGGAAAATTGCTGGTGTTATCTTAGCTTTCACATCCAAATATCTATCTGTCTGTCTACTGTCTCTTCCCCTAGTCCTGCACAGTAATGGTACAAAAGTAAATTAATAGAGTTCAGACCCCTACTCCTCCTTCTGCCTGCCTTTAAAAGTTACCTTCCTGTACTAGGAATCCACAAAGTTCTTGGATCAACCTGTTAAATAAGCATCTAACTTAAAATCTGCTAAATTTCTTAAGTCTGTCTCTTTCAGTATTAAATATTACTTGTCCATAAGGAGCTTGATACTGTCCTCCTGGAGTAATAGCACATGATGGCATGATAATCTTACCTAACTTGGCCTAAAAGCACATGTATATGGTAATGTGCACTGACCTTGACAAAACAGATCACTAATTTACCTGGATTAGTAGCCTGCTTGCAACATTAGCAGCAACAGCTAATAGTAGATGCTTACAAGGTAAATAATAAAATAACTTCCTTTGTTGGTATTTTGTACATGCAGCTGATCCAGGGTTTTTTAAGTTCCTAATTTTTGATAAGTATGTCATTTAAATGCATTAATGTGTATTAATCTTAAGTGTGATAAATGAAAGGACTGCATTAATGAAGAAAAATAATTGACTGCAAACCTAAAGAGGTCAAATTCTGCTGAAGTGCTAGTTCTAGTCTTGCATCTAGAAATCATAACGTAGACCTTTGGATTTTGTGGAGAATGCAAATAAAGTAAATGGAATGGGACACAGGCTAGTGCTTTTGCATACATAATGAAAGCATTACTCATGTGGTTTAAAAAAATAGTATATACCACATCCACTTTTAGGTACTGTTTTGAAGGAACAATTTCATTACAAACATACTGACTTTTCAGTTGCTTTCCTCAATAAAGGTGAACTTCTTATGTAGAAAAAGATAAACTCTTTTAGGATTAGTTTTAAAAACAGATATCTATCTATGTGTTCTTACTTAAAAAAGTAAAAGCCAATTTCTGACTTGGAATATCTATCTATGTGTTCTTACTTAAAGTAAAAGCCAATTTCTGACTTGGAAAAAGCTAATGAGCTATTTGCTATCTCAAATAGCAATTGCTATGGTGGAGAGGTAAGTTAGAAAAACCTGTGAATCGTAAGAAATGCTCAGTTTTGTTGCATCATGTTAAGAAGCAAAACACTACACTTAATGTTTCTGCCTGTAATTCTATTTCAGGATGTGGACAAAATATCCGCAGCAGTATCTTCAATGAAAACATGATCTAATCAGTTTTGCACACCAGCTCATAAGTTTGTGGCAAAAAATGGGGACGTACAGTTTGCTAATTGTACTGGTGCTTGCACAGTGGAGACTCATATTTAATTAACTACCTAACTGGATGCATATGGCATAATCTATGCTATATAGGCATACTATGCTAAGTATGTGTGTGTATGTGGAAAGTGCCAGCAAATAAGTAGGCTCCATCCTCTCTAAAATTTGAGAATTAAGCTGGCTCTGGAAATAGAGGGGTTCCTCCAGTACTCTCTAAATGGAGAAGGATGATGGGCTGAGCTGGCTCATGGGGACATAGATAAACTTTCCCATGAAGGCAGGTCATTGTTTTTTTAGGCCAGTTGCTTTACAATAAATTTTAGGTGAAGCAGAACAGCAGAGGTGCGAGAGTAGAAGACTCTTAGCTATAATAAGTAATTCTCTCTCTTTTTTTTTTTTTT